AGTGCTGGCCCGTCCAGGAGGCTGCTCTTGCCAATCCCAAAACGTGCCAGACCCTGGCGTTGAAGCTCAAACAAAGGTTGTCTTGAAAACAGGCCCAAAATGGCCTGTGCTAAAACCCTGGTCTGGTGCCTAAGTTTCAGGGCAGGTCGATCTTACGAGGGCCTGAAAATGGCCCTCCATTTCAGGCTGAAAAAACTCAGGGGCTGGAGGGCCCTGTTTTAGGCTGAAACGACACAAGGCCTGTAGGCCCTTGTTTTCAGGCTTTCAGGATGAAACGACACAGAGCCTGTAGGCCCTTGTTTTCAGGCTTTCGGCTGAAATGACACAGGGCCTGAAAATGGCCCTCGTTTGCAGGCGCAGCATGTAACAAAGGCCCACATGGGAAGAAGCGAAAGAACGTTTTCGGTGTGCTCTTCATGTTTATCCTTTCTTTCACGAACTGCGCTCTCTTTTTGTTGAAAGATATTTGACAATATTGTTGCCCTCTTCTCCCTCTCTGCCTACAGTTTATCGCCTTGTGGATGGCTATGTTGTCTGTTGACTACATTATCATCTCTGATGATGGCCTTTGCAAGTGTTTCAAGAAGGCTATCGCCGAATTGTTCATGTACCTTCGTAGGTATGAAGCTATGGCACCACTTTAATGGCTTGCACTGCATGAGCATCTTTGACGAAGTGGTTGCATATGGCTTTCCTGTCATTCGTTATCCAATTGCAACCTCCAACATCCTTTCCCATCAACCAGCTGGTGCATTCACTGTGCAATTGACCTGCTTCAGACAAACCTGTAACAATTGGCAAGACTTTCAAACTGTGGCAACAACACATACTGCTGGCATACTTACTCCAGGGCATCCCACATCGACCCTTGCTAAGGATTGGACCTATTTCATGTGCTCCCACCAATGTTGCTATCCTATGCATGCAATGTGTTTCTCTCAGTAGTTTCAATGCATGTTGCAATGGCCCCTGCATTATCCACTTTCTTCCTTGCCCTCACGAACCTCCGTCCTGCTCCTGCCACTGCCTGCTAATCTGCTATTGATAGACCTATGCTTTCAACTGCTGCAATGTCCTCTACTGCAGTTTTCGCTGCAGCTGTTTCCACGTTCGCAATTTCCTCTTTTGCAGTTTCCACTGCTACAACTCCCTCTGCTGCAGTACCAGTGCAGAGAACACCACAGCCTCCCCGACACAGGTCGTTTATTTCGAACCCTTGCCCAATCAATTCCCTTCTCCTCTCCTTCTGTGCTTAACCGTAGACAGTTGCGCTCCACCTCACCGCCTGCATCTCCTCCACGGTCTCCCTTGCCAACAGATTCTCTTGTTCCCACCGTTCTACTTTCAGTACTGGAGGCATGTTTGTCCCCAGATTGCCAAATCACGGCGCCTCTTATTCTGTGTCATCGATGGCATGCACCGTATCATTGCTCATTCAGGAATCAGCATCCTGCTCCTTTGTCTGCCCCAACTTTCTCTGTGCCTGCTCCACAGGTGGTTGTTGTTCCCTTGTTCCAGAGGGCAGTATTCACTCCCTTGTCCTCTGTAAATAGTCCAATTTCCAGAGAACAGCCACGAGACCATGTGTCATGCTGTACAACACTGGAGATTGACGGGCCTCCTGGATAGCAGCATATGGTCCCCAATCAGGATGCACCCCCCACTCAAGGGGCAGTCTACACTGGAGAGGCGGCCCCAAACGTCTGGGGATTGGAACATCGTTTGGCTCGATTGCAAATTGCTGAACAAGACATCCACCGCATAGTGATCTGCAAATGACTGACCAGCATACAGCTCAAGATTGAGACCACATGGGTTATCTGCAGATGACTGACCAGGAAATAGTCCAAGGCATTCCAGGCTTGAAACATCAGTTGGGTAACCTGCAGACTGTTGGCTAGTGTCCAGCCCTCCAGCCTCCTCACAACAACGAGGAACATATTTGTGATCCTTGTTCCTCTAGTTTTGTTGAGATCCTTCCCGATCTCTACGGTCTGGCTGCTACTAATGCTTGTCTGCACATTCATGAGAACATTATGTTTAACATTGCGGGCGGCCATAGTCACACCTCTTGTACGAAGACAAGTCTGTGTAATTGAGGTGATGGATGGAGACTATCCTCGAGTTACATCTCACTGGACCTTTTGACGAGTGTGCATCATCTTGTATGAGTATGGTGTGAAACTGTCGATCATGGCCAGTCTCAAAGCATGCCGACAGAAGCAGAAGAAAAGAAGAACCCACAAATGCTCTCTCTCTCTCTCTCTCTCTCTCTCTCTCTCTCTCTCTCTCTCTCTCTCTCTCTCTCTCTCT